AATCAACTTCCCGCATCCCCGCTACCCCTGGTGCCGATCTAGGGCCGAAGTGAGAGGATGAGGAGGGAGAGGAGTGGCCGGTGAGAAGGCCATCGGCAGCATGATGTGGGTGTCGACTTTCTCGCGTCCAGACGTCTCGTTCGCCGTGCATGCGGTAGCGCGGCACGCCCACGCCCCGGCGAAGCGGCACTGGGATGCCATACAAAAGATCCTCGGCTACCTGAAAGGGACGAGGGACCTTGGCATCACCTACCAACGGGGATCGGGGTTAGGGCTGGCCGTGTACGTAGACGCTAGCTACGCCGACACGGAGGATAGGCGTTCGGTGTCAGGGTTGGCGACGACGGTCGGAGGTACCGTAGTCAGCCATGGTAGCAAGACGCAAAGCATCGTGTTTTTTTCTTCAACGGAAGCCGAGTACATTGCTGCCGGGGAGGGTGTCAAGGAGGCGTTGTTTGTGCGTGCTGTGCTTTCGTTTGTTGCCCCAGAGACCAGTGGTAGCAGCACCCAGGTCCTTGAGGACAACCAGGGGGCCATAGCGTTGATGCAGAACCCTCTCAGCTCAGGTCGCACGAAACACATCGACGTGCGGTTTCATTTCATCCGCGGATTGTTTAGGTCGGGGGATATTTCGGTCAAGTTTGTCCCGACAACGGAGCAACACGCGGACCTCTTCACCAAGGCCCTTAGCAGGGCCAGTCTACAGTATCACCGGCGCAAGCTGATGAATTTGCCGGAGTAGCTGTAGCAGTTTCTAGCACTTGGGAGAGGCCATGTTTTCCATGCGGGGAAAGGCGCATAACTGTTGCGGTCTGTGCACCAATGGCAGGAGTAGGGCGCGTTGGGAGACCATCGTCCGGGGGAACTTAGTTCCTCGCTTTCTTGTCTTCGCCTTGGCCTTGCTAATAAGCGCGGCCGTTGTGATCCGCTGTGATAGCGACGGTTATTTGTGGTGGTAGGGTTTTTCTTGAGGGGTTTTGCCCGGACACCGGGTTTCCCCTCCATATATTGCCATGTTGGTGTTTTCTGATGTATCCAGGGGCGTTCTTGCCCAATTGATGGTTAGTCACTTTTGAACCAGGGAGGGTGTTCGTGGGTCTGCGAACATTGTGTTGGATACATGTGCTGGATGATTTCGTGTCACGCAGACTGGTAAGGTTACCGTTTGGTAGGGGGCACCGCGATGATTCACGGGGCCCCTCCTTGCTCTGGGAGCCGCTCGTTGAGCACTACCTCTTTCGTCCGTGTGAAGGACGGTCGTTGACCTCTGGTGAAGTTAATACATCATCAAAGCAGTCTCACCCGATAAATAAGTGGCATAGGCCGCAAACAAGTCCTGCTCGCAGGTTCTCTTGTTTTTCCTTCAGGTGAACACGTCCAGGAATCCAGTATCCGCAGCCGCCGCCGTAGTACTGTACTGTGTAGCAGTAGCAGGAAATCCAGGTTGTACCCATCCGTTGTCCAAACAAAGATTTGTGATTCCGTGAGAGAAGGAGATACCACCGCCGGCGAAGAGTCGAAGGCACTGTCTGCCAGATGTAGGTTGTGAGATAGATGANTCTTTCCTTCAGGTGAACACGTCCAGGAATCCAGTATCCGCAGCCGCCGCCGTAGTACTGTACTGTGTAGCAGTAGCAGGAAATCCAGGTTGTACCCATCCGTTGTCCAAACAAAGATTTGTGATTCCGTGAGAGAAGGAGATACCACCGCCGGCGAAGAGTCGAAGGCACTGTCTGCCAGATGTAGGTTGTGAGATAGATGAAGCCACCTATGTGTTCTTAGCCTGCCCGCCCGTGAGGGTCGTGACGAGGCCGCTGTGAGAGTGTGTGTGTTTTTATCATTAGCATCCACCGCGCTAACCGGCTGACCAATGAAAAGACGTCAGTCTTAGTGCGGTTGAAAACACAAAACACTTCTATCTGCCATGAACTGGGACCCCGTGAGGGGGCAGCATGGGGGAGAGGGGGTAGTGTGTGTGTGTGTGTGTGTTATTATTAGCATCGACCGCGCTAACCGGCTGACCAATGAAAAAAGGTCCGTCTTAGTGANCAGTCTGCTCGATCGTGACTCCCCAGTACACGGCCGATTGACTCTCGATACAGATCAGGCAGCATTCTTTCATAAGCTGACAACCCTTGCGTTGTCAACCACGACAAAACTCCCTTGTGTGTGTGTTTACGTCCTATTTATTAGGGCGACAGTCCCCCCGTTTTTCGTGGTGAAACGTGTACTACACTCTTCAGCGCATGTATGTATGTAGAGTACTACACTTTTTTTCAGTGTATTTTTCGCACAACTTCAAACATCGAGGGTCACACAGGAGGGGGTAAACACCAGGGCTTTTTTATTCTTTTTGTTTCTTTTCATGCCCCACCTTCCTCCCGCGGTGCGTGCTGAATTTCATTTTTATCGCGAGAAGGGTCCAGCCGTCCCTTTCCCTCGTCAACGGTGCTATGATAACGTCGAAGTTTGGTACTCACGAGAGCTTTTTTTAGCTATGTTTCGCTTTCACCCGCCAATTTCGTAAATTTTTTACCCCATGGGGATTCGAACTCACGACCTCTGCAACTAGCGGATTACGAGGACACCACAGACCACCGGGGCGAGTGGTGGTACCCGTCGGTGGTACGGTTTGTGATGTACTCTGCGAACCCCCCTCCCTTCCAGGCCAACAGGTCGATGCTTTAGGTCTTGCTTCGCACTTAACCCTAGCCCGGCATCAGAGGAAGGCTAAGTTTTCCCCGAACTGTTGCTACTGTAGGTGTTTCGCTTGCTCCAGTTCCCACTTCCCTCGCCGGTGCCATACTACAGTAGTGCAGTAGACGGCTGCTGTGTGTGTGGTGCCCATTTTCAAATTTCAAAAACGACAGAGACAGAGAGAGGCTACAGCCGTACTGCGTTTGGTTTGGCGGCTACTATCCAAGCTGGCGGGGGGGGGAGGGCAGCCTGCTGTTAGAAGGCGATCTATGCGTGAGTTGGGTCCGGCGTCCCAGCCGCACGTGCCGCTATGGAAGGGAACCAGGAAGGGTACCCAGACTACGCCGAGGAGCTGCAGAAGTGCAAGGACTTTTTGGCCCAGTATCAGGTGCGGCGGAAAAGACAGAATTTCGCGCTCTCCGTGCGCAGTCAGTACCCCAGGCTATAATTGCACAGCACGTACGGTTGTATCGAAATGGTACAGACAACGGTCTTCTTGCCATCGTTATACTTCGTGTCTCCACTGTTTGTAGTAGCTGACTCACAGGTGCCAAGTCGTTTTGATTTAGATGTGGTCTACGGGTTGTGACGGATACTTACATGCAGTGCAACCAGCGATTCAACCATCGCAAGATCACACGTGCAATGCCACAGCAGTCGTGAACTACTGTACATGTATATTCCGTGTACCTGTCCACCACAGCTTCCCTACCGCGGCGCCCACTAGCTCCACAAAGTTCTCTAGGTGGACGTGTTTTGTCGTGGGCCGAGGGTCTTTCAGCAGCGAAAACCAAGCGCATGTCGATTGGACTGCTGTACACACCTTGACAGCAAAAAAAATACTTCTACAACGGAAGTGTGGTGTACCGTACCGTAGGTTGGCATGAGGTGTCACACCCTAAGCTCGATTTCTCCACAGCAAAATAGTGGCGGTGCCCAAAACGGCGGTGTTAAGAGCCGCCTTGTCGAGAGCGTTCCGAAAACGCATGGTATCATTTATGCATCCTCTTGGCCACGAACTAACTAGTCGAGTCGGTCCAGGGGGTGTGGTATATTGCGTCACCCGCGGTACCTACGGTGGAGGAGCGCGAATCCGGTCGCCTGATTGGCCGGCAGCCACACCGTGCGCAACATATCGGAGTCTTGATCAGCACAAGATGGAGTGGCGAAACGAAAGGGGATTCGAGGCCGGGTGTTCGTGGTCGAGGGGGGTAAACATACTGCTTGTTGGGATGCTTGTTGGCACACCGGTAGTAGACTACAAGCAGGTAAATTACTGACAGCCGCGCTGCTTTCGTAAATTTCGTAAATACTGCAATACTCCGTCGGGGTATGTAAATGTCGGTTACGGCCGATGTTGTTCGTGACAGACTACAGTCCTACTGCTGCGCGCCATTGATCACGACAGAGTAGCAACACTTGGCGGGGAGCGAAATGTAGAGTCCGCAACGACCACCGCCTTTAGGGCTCATTTTCTCGCCGGTTGGTTGTGGTGATGTCTGAAGCATTAGCCTTCGCGAACATATTGCGCTTGGTTGTAGTAGGGGGTACGGGATTGGGGTTGGCGAAAAGGAAACCCCAAGTCTCCATTTCATAGATTGACGTTTCATGGATTTACACGAACATCCTCGCGAACGCGGTCCGTCTGTAGCGAGGCGTTCCTGTGCCCGCTCTTGCCGGCGCCGTCCGCGATATCTATCCGTGTACTCCAATGCGGGGCGCTTGCCATGGAGGGGATCGTCCGCACAGAAGAGGTCCTGCATGGATGCATGGCTTCATGCATCATCGTGCTCTTGATCATCGGCAAACCGAAAAATGTATCTGAAAGTTGGAGCATTTTGCTTTCCAAAAGAATGATGTTCTTCTTTCGATTGCTATTCATCTCCGTGACCTGACTTTGGTGCACCCACCGCGCTCGTATGACGATAGGCTTTGGGAGAAGACACGCACAAGTATGTGGAGATTATGCAGCGCGTGGTGAACCGGGAGGAGACGGTGGTGGAACTGGAGATCGACGACGTGTTGGCTGTGAGCCTTCTGTTTCTAACTCATCCTGACCTCAATACCCAGGGTACCGTAGGAGGCGCAGAGATGGCACCCCCCCTAGACCGACTCCCAGAGCTCGATTCCACAACGAAGTGGGTGATGAAAGGGCCCGATACGCCTACGGAAAGCCCTCGACGAGATGTTTCAAAAACCACCATTCTTGGTGTTGGCACAAGCTTGGACGTTGAGCAATGGAGCCTTCCAGCCTTGTTTTGTAGTCCGAGGACGACGTTCTTTATGTGCACCTTTTTTCTCACTGTGTCTGTTTTTTTCTGCAGTTCCGCAGCGACTCTGAGTTCGCGGACAACATCGTGGCGAACGCGGGTCGCTACGAGAAGCTGTTTTGCCAGGCCATCGACGAGAGCTTGCCGGAACCGTCAGCCGACATTGAGCAGGTAATTCGGTTTCACTTCCGTGTTGTTCCCGTCGCCACCGTTGTTCTTGCTGGCTGTGAGACTGACATCGCCGGCACTCTCTTTCGTTAAGACTGCTGCGGTTGCCGTTTCTGGTGGTGCTGGTAGCTGGTAGCGCTGCGTGTGTGCCACCCTTACTCTGGCAAGTTTGTTTTTTCGCTGACTCGATGAGGATTTTGGTGCGGTGCCACTGGCTGTGCTTTCACGGACATTGGCCGTGGTTGAAGGCTCCTAGTGGTCTCGGACTCTCTGCTGCTGGTCTCTAGTCTTCCTGCCTACAGTACGGTGGCTGGTTTTGCAAGTCTGCTTGCTTGCCTGTTGCATGTCTTCGTTTCTGCAACACAACAAACACGAACTTCAATCGCCCCTACGAGCACTTTTTGCTCCCACACGTCCGAGGTCGCCCCCTCTTCGTCGTTGCCCCGACTGCTCGTCTGTCCATCCCCACCCTGCCCCGCGACGCTATCTTCACGATCATCCGAACGCTGGCTCAAAAAAAAAACTGTTGCCGGAATAAGCACGGGTGCCTTGCAGGTCTATGGGCGGTGTGTCGTCTACTCGTCGTTGCTGTGGGCGTTTTGCGGGGACGATTCTTGCTCTGCCTACTACACGATCTTGGTGGTCTTTTATTTCCGACCGCCTTGTTGTCGGCCGGGTTTTGTCGCGACTCTCTGCCGGTTGGTTCACGCCGTGGCAGGTGGCTGACGTGTGGGACGTGCTGCAGCGGCAGAGGGAGATCCAGAGGGCCGAGGCGCAGGAGCAGCCGGACGCAGACCTTGAGGATTCTCCCGACAACGACTTCCCAGTGGCTCTAGTGCGCAGGTACTCGGCGCAGCGGGAGACGTTCAGGAGCATTGTTTACTTATTTTATGCCTTCGTCATATCACAACGACGCCTCCTGCACAATCCAGGCAGGGTGCTATTTTCCTGCGAAGATTGTCGAAAGTTGCGAAAGCTGTGTTCCGTAGAGCGCATGCAATACGCCCGCGGCATTGATGGGGGGTTGGTTTTTTCCGGATATGGTAGTGTATTCTGCGTGACATCCACGCTCGTATCAGCAAATTTGTCCTCCCAAATTCCATAAGCCCGTCGATAAACACAGCGGTGCGGTTTCAAAACTCCGCGAGTTCGGGCTCGAGACGCCGATACCCATTCCCCGACACCTTGTGTAGCATATCGCCACGCCACTCGACACGTCGCACGGCCGGCTTAGACAGCCTAGACAGCTCCCAGGCAACGGATCGTCAAACTCGGGCTCTATGCATATGAGGGCATGATTGTTGAGTCCAGGCCGTACAGACGGACCTAGCTTTACCACTTTTCAGCAGCAATCACCCGCAAACGACGCGGTTTCTAGCTCACTACTACAAGGCGTAGAATACCCTCGATGCGGCCGCGTTGCCGTGCCCGACGCAAGTGTGCACCGGGTGTAACTTCCGTGCACGTTGCCCGAGCAAGGATGTCTTCCCACTCACTGCTGCAAAGACTTCAACACATACCATTCGACTGTGTTACTATCTCGAACGGGCAGGTTTTCTGTGAGATTATTTATTCTTTCTAATAAAATGATGGAGGAGATGATGATTCCATGACGGAATCGTTCCTAGAGGCGGGGACCCCGTTCAAAGGTCACCTCCGCGGGTGCCCCCCCAAACCCACTAGCCCTCGCAGGTT